TTAGTTTTCCTTCTAACATTCAGGTTCCTCTGCTATAGGACTGCTGAGGTCCCCTTCAGGCCCTGCTTGCCTGGGGATCACCTGCAGTGGCTGCAGAACAGTAAGCGTTGCTACCAGTTTCTTCTTCTGCTATCTTTGTCCCCGAACATACCTGCCAAATATCAGTCTGATCTCTGCTTTATGAGGTGACTCTTTGGATATTCAGCAGCCAGGGAGCTGCTTGAGGAGACAGTCTGTCCTTTATAGGGGCTGAAGTGCTGAGCTGTGAGCTCCATTGTTCATTCAGAGCTGCTGGGCGGGTACGTTTAGGCCTGCTGCAACAGAACTCATAAACCGCTTTTTGTTCCCAGGTGCTCTGTTCCAGGGAGTTAGGGCTTTATTTATGAGTTTCTGTTGTGCTGCTGCCTTTTTTTTTCAGGGCTGCCCTGCCCAGCAGGAGGTAGCCTGTTCACTGTCTGCCTGCAGAGGCTTTGCTGAGCTGCCATGGGCTCCGCCTAGCTGCCACGTGAACTTCCCTGCAGTCTTGTTTATATGCGAGTAGTTAGAACTGCCTCAGCAATGGTGGCCCGCCTCTGTATTGGCGGACTCTCTCTGTAATGGCAGGTTGTCTTGGCAACGGCAGGTAGCCTCAGCAGTGGCGGTTTGCCTTGGCAATGACAGGCTGCCTCAGCATTGGCTGACTACCTCCGTAGTGTTGGAGTGCCTAGATAATGGCAGATGCCCCTCCCCCACAGAGCTGGACTGTCCCGGGTTCAGCTGCGCTTGCTGCGAAACTCTCTATCCAGAGAGTTTCTGATTGCTGTTATTTTGTGGGGGTGGGACCGAGCCTGATCACCTGGCTCCCTGCCTCGGAGGCTTTTTTTTTTCTTTTTTAGTTGAAGAGTTGACTCTATCCCTGTCGCCTGTTAAAAGGGCGCCCCGGGATCTGTGTGATTTCCCGTGCAGTGACTCTCTGCGTCGGCTTAAACAGCGGCGCTGAGATTCGTGGCACTTTTTTGCCCAGGAGTCTCCTGGCCTGGCTCCCTGTTCAGCCCCCTCTTTAATCAGATGAATGGGCGGCTTCCTGGGTCTCCAATTGCCAGCCAAAAGGGCACCTGGAGCAGTGTATTTTGTATGGAGAACTGCCGGCCAGGGGGCCAACAAAGCAGCTGCCCGGGGCAAAGCAGCCGCGCTGACCAAAAGAACTGCGCCGGCCACAACAGCCAAGCTGGCGACCCGTGGGGCTCCTCTGCTTGTGAATCTCCTGATCCGTGGGCTATAAAAATGCAGCGTCCACTCACCCTCTGTGCTTTCCCTGGGAGCTGCAACTCTGAGCTGTTCTTAAATGGCCATCTTGGATCTTCCCTCTTGCCCATGTTTTAATTGAATGGTTTGGTTTTTTACTCTTGAGTTTTGAGAGTTTTGTAGATTTTCTAGATATTAGTCCTTTGTCAGATATGTGGTTTGCAAATACTTTCTCCTACTCCTGTGGGCTTATCATTTCATCCTCTTAACAGCTCTGTCATTTGACATATACACATTTTGGATTGTTACGTGGTAGACTGGTAGACTGACCCTTCTATCATTCTATATTGTCCCTCTCTGGTAAATTTCTTTGCTGTTTTATGTGATATTATAGCTTGTCTTGCTTTCCTGTAATATTTGCATGGTGTATTATTTTCCATCCTTTTACTTTCAACTTGCTTATATTCTATGTGAGTTTTTTGTAGATAGCCTATAGTTGGGTTATTTTTTTTAATGCCCTCTGCTAATCTTTTCATTTATATATTTAAACCATTTACCGTTAATGTAATTTTATGTTAGGGTTTAAATCCTCCATTTTATTACATTCTGTTCTTTGTTTTTCTGTTTTCTTTTTCTTTCTATTGGTTACTTTAACATATTTTTAGAATTCAATTTTTACTCATCTGTAGAGTTTCTGCACATATCTCTTTGTATAGCTTTCTTAGTATTTGCTGTAGTATAACACCACTTATGAGAGTCTACCGGTGTCATTTTAGCAGTGGAGTAAAAGAGCCGTCCTTTTACATCTCCTTTACCTTCTGTTTACAATATAATTGTCTTAAATATTTCCTGAACCACATATGTGCCCATATTTTTGTTTACCATGTTTTCTTCCTTTTTAATGTTCCAAGGTTCTATTGTTTATCCTTTCCTTTCTGTTTAGAGAACTTCCTTAGGTTAGGTCTTCTCTAGCTTTCTTTGTCCGAGAATGTGTTGATTTCACATTGAGTCCTGGAGGAGATTTTTTTCTGGGTGTAGGATTCTGGGTTAACATTTATTTTTTTTTAGCACTTGAAAAATTCTGCACCACTACTTTCTGGCTTCCATGATTCCTGATGAGAAATCCTTTGTTATCCTGAATGCTTTTCCCTCTAAAGATAAGGTGTCATTTTCCTGTTTTTCAAGATTTTTTCTTTGAGTCTTTAGTGTTCAGAAGTTTATGATGTGTCTTGGCATGGATTTCTTTATGTTCATCCTATTCGGAGTTCATTTTGCTTTTTGAATATGTAGATTTATATCTGCCCCCAAATTTGGGAACTTTTCAGCCATTCTTTAAGTACTTTGTCAGTTCTCTTTCTTAGACTATGATGTCATAATTCTTAGGTCTTTTGTTATAGCCTCATAGGTCTTTAAGGCTCTTCATTTTTTAGAAGTCTGTTTTCTCTTTATTGTTGAGTTTGGTGATTTCTTTTCACTGTACCTTAAACTCCTGGACTCAAGCAGTTCTCCTGCCTCAATCTCCCTAGTAGCTAGGACCATAGGCACATGCCACTACACCTGGCTAATTACAAAATTTTTTTTCGTGAGACAGGGTCCTTCTCTGTCCCCTTCATTTTGTTGTTCCATAAAACAATTTTTTTTTTTGAGCCAGAGTCTTGCTCTTGTTGCCTAGGCTAGAGTGTAGTGGCATGATCTCAGCTCACAGCAACCTCTGCCTCCCAGGTTCAAGGGATTCTCCTTGCCTCAGCCTCCTGAGTAGCTGGGATTACAGGGGTCCGCCACCATGACCAGATAATTTTTTTTTTTTTTGGTAGAAACGGGGTTTCATATTGTTGGCCAGTCTCAAACTCCTGACCTCAGGTGATCTGCCCACCTCAGCCTCCCAAAGTGCTGGGATTACAGTTGTGAGCCACCACGCCCGTCCTACCAAATTTTTTTTTTTTTTTTTTTTGAGACAGTGTCTTACTCTGTAACCCAGGCTGGAGTGCAGCAGTGATGCAATCTCAGCTCACTGCAATCTCTGCCTCCAGGGTCCTGGTTCAAGCAATTCTCCTGCCTTAGCCTCCAGAGTAGCTGGGATTACAGGCACGTGCCACCATGCCCAGCTAATTTTTGTAGTTTTTTTTTTTTTTTTTAGTAGAGTTGAGGTTTTAACCATGTTGGCCAGGCTGGTCTTGAACTCCTGACCTTATGATCTGCCTGCCTCAGCCTCCCAAACTGCTGGGATTGCAGGCATGAGCGAACGCGCCCGGTCTCAAAACAAGTTTTTTATAGAGACAGCGTTTCACTGTATTGTCCATGCTGGTAAGTCAGGTAATTTCTGTCACTCCAATTGACTGATTCTTTTCTCTTTCCCCTTCATTCTGCATTCAATAAGGCTTTTTATTTTGTTTTTTGTACTTTTTAGTTCAAAACCTCCACTTGGTTTTTTTTAAATTTTTTATTTCTTTGCTATTTTCTACTACTTTGCTTAGGCATTTTTTTCATTTGCTTCAAGCATGTTTATAATTGATGCTTTTTAAAAATGGCTGCTTTAAAATCTTTGTCAGATGATTCTAATATCTCTGTCCTCTTGTTGGCATGTATTGATTGTGTTTTCATTCAGTTTGAGTTCTTCCTAGTCCTTGGTTGGATGAGTGGTTTTTAATTGAAACCTGGGATCTTCATTTTGTTATGTCTGTTTTGTATTTAGACTTCTTTTGGCTGGCTTTTGACACTGTTCCAGCAAAGCAGGGAGAGGGGTGGTGGACGCCACCTTGTTAGAGCTGTGTGGAAGTAGAAGTTCTCTACTCGGACTTTGTGGATACCTAAGGGTCAGGGAGCTTCTTGCACAGGGGAGAGTTTTGGCTCCTCACAGTCTCCACTGACACCACTGGGGTTGTGGGGTGGGGACTCATTACCAGCCATGGATGAAAGTTCTGTCTCCCTAGTTGGCCTTTCCTGACACTACTGTGGTAGAGGTGTAGAGGGAAGCTTGTTACAGCCTCACCAGGGAGAAAATCTAGGCTGTATACTCGTAGTGAAGAGGGGTGTGGGTTGAGGCGGGGGTGAAATTTTCTGTATAGTATTTGGCTGGAGTTGAGCTGTTATTGTTAAAAAGTTTTCTGTTTGCAAGCCTGCCCTTTTCAGGTCCTCTGGCTAGAGAGAGCAGACTTCTGCAGGTTTTTGTTATTGTTGTTCTGTACCTGTTGCCATTTCTGCATTGCTGGAATTTTCAGCTCCAAGTCTGGGATATATGAAACAAAAAGGAACCCAGGGAACGTCTGACCATGTTTTTCCTCAGGTCCTGAGTCACTGGCTAGTCTGTCTTCTCTCCTCCTTTGAAAGCTTTCTGTTTTAAAATATATTTATATATAATTTTTCAGGTTTTTAGTTGTGCTTAGCTGGAGGCATTGGGAAAAATACATCTATTCCACTTTCCCAGAAGCTGGCTTTTTTTTTCTTTTTTTTAAGTTTTAGGATGCAGGTGGAGAATGTGGAGGTTTGTTACATAGGTAAACATGGGCCATGGTGGTTTGCTGCACCTATCAACCCGTAACCTAGGTATTAAGCCCTGCATGTATTAGCTATTTGTCCTGATGCTCTCCCTCCCCTTGCTGCCTGCAGTGCACAAGCCCTGGTGTGTGATGTTCACCTCCCTGTGTTCATGTGTTCTCACTGTTCAGGTCCCACTTATGAGTGAGAATATGCGGGGTTTGGTTTTCTGTTCCTGCGTTAGTTTGCTGAGGATGATGGAAAAGCTGGCTTTTGTTTTATATGTTTTAGTTAAGCCTGTGTTTTAATACATTGGCATATTTACATATGAAGATTGTAGTATTTTGGGAATAATGAGCCACCATAGCATAGAAATATATTTTTTATTTTAGTATTGTTGAGGAAAGTAACATAGTATATAACAGGATTAGTACTTTTTGCTGGATTAAAGAAAATGCTGAAATGGCTTTTATTCTTAGAAAGCTTGTACAGTTGGGAATTTAATCAGGTACCTTCTGTATGAACTACATTGTACCTTGTTGTGAATACTTACATTAATTAATTATATGAAATGGCATGTAATGGGCTCCATTATTTTCATGGAAGTGTGTACTGACCAAGAAATAAAACTTGATCTCTGTATTGTTCAATGTGATCAGTGTAAGTTAGACTCAACAGGGTGTTTTACTCAGTTTCGGAATTCCAAGTTTGTTTCTGTAAGGAAATTCTTGTGGTTTGACTGGTACTCACAGGTATGCTTTGTTCTGTCCACCTGCATCTTCTGTGGTCAGATGTTTTATCTCCTAACTCTTTTAACTATGGAGTGTACCCTCTATGCAACTCTAGATTAATAAGGGAAAAGCCAAATCTGAAGCCAGGGACTCATCCAATTGGATTGACTAAGCAACACATGGTGAAGAGGGGAGGGGCCTTTCTGCAGCTCTGGAAATCAAATGACATTGTATCTTATCATAATTTGTTCATTTCTTAGATACACAGATGCTACCAGTAAATATGAATCTGTCATGAAAACAGAGCCAAGCATTGCTGAATATACAGTTCGTTCAAAGGAGAGGATTTGCCACTGCTTTTCTAAGGTAACAGTTGACTTGTTTCCAGAAATGTGAAAACTCCACGTATGGAATACCAACCATAAATCCTTTTCTCACATTTCGTTTTAGGACGAGAAGCCTGTTGAAGCTATTAGGGTATGTTCTGAAGTTTTACAGATGGAACCCGACAATGTGAATGCCCTGAAAGATCGTGCAGAGGCCTATTTGATAGAGGAAATGTACGATGAAGGTAAATCCTTCATCTGTGTTTTATTTTAGGCACATATACATATTCTCTCTATATATACTTGGTGTGTATAAAACATATATACAGAAAGCATACATATATGTTGTATGTCCCTAATATAAAATGGTCCTCTGTGACTCCAAGCTGTTTAGTAACATAGGATAGCTGCTACCCTATTTTGTTTAAGCCAAACGAAGTAACCAGAAATTCCTGCTAGATGTTGTGAGGACCTTGAATAAAAGCAGTGTCGTGTTTTTGGGAGATAACTAAGGCATATACAGTAATATACCATTTTTGAAAAATAGAATCCATATATATATATATATATATATATATAGTTTTGTACCTTTTTTCATGTGTCACTGAGTTATGAACATTTAAATGAGACAGTTTTTAAAAAAACAAATGAGCCTTATAAACCCTTAGTGCAAATATTTTGTTTCAAATTTAGGTAAAGCATTTTAAATCAAAAACAGTAATTTTCTCTTACAGTTAAATGAAGAGTTTGAATGATAACATTTGGTTTGTGATACTCTTTTTAGGGTACAACTGGTCAATTTCTTTTTCCCTGCCTTCCTCAATTAGAAAAGAATCTTACTCATAAGCAGTTTCCAGGGAATGATGACAACCTGGTCACTACTATTTGTGGGACATCTTGTGGGGCAGTAAGACCTTGAGGTCTCTGAAGAGGTTTGGAATGAATGCAGTCAAAATGATGTTTTAATATTCATAAGCATGCTTCAATAAGGCATGTAGTCCACATAGAAGATGGCTTTAGCAGACTTGTTCTCTTCTCTTTTGAGCTACTGTGCCTACTTGGTGAGATGGTTTTACTCTAGGATTTTGCATTCCAGTTAGTTTTTGGAACTCTTTATCAAAGGTACTTTTGTCATCTGTATGTAAACCCTAGCTCTGAGTGTGTAATTAGAGAAGCTACAAAAGAATATAAAGAGCTTAGCTGTTTAAAAAAAAAAGGGCTAAATCTTGTAGAATGCTAACTATACAGCTAGTGCTCGACTTACGACCACGATTGGTTCTGACAGACCAGTCGTAACACAATTTGGTCGTAAGTTGAGTAGGCTATATGTACAGTACTGTGAAATGATATTATAAAAATCCTTAAGTCATATTTTATCATAATTTTCTTTCATTATTGTTATATATCATAATTTTCTTTGTTCATTTGATGCCATTTGTATCATCTCTACACCATTTTGCTTCTTATTTTTATATTCGTCAGGTTTAAGTAAAACACTGCATTACCAGTAGTAAAGGTTGACCTGAATGCTTATTATGAAAGCATTCTTGTCAAATCTCATTTTTAAAAAGCCACCTTAACTTGTGGTAAAGGCACAGCCTTGTGTAAAACTGTGGAATATTCACAGATCACTGAACCACAGTGGTCTATGGTTTGAAGTGAAAAACCATGGCACATGATGAGTTTTGAAAAGCAGAAGAGTATGAACTATGTTAAGTCTTAGGGTTAAAAAGGACTAGTTGCCAGGTATTTATTTATTATCATTGTAAATAGAAAAGTAAATCATCACAATTTTATGTGACTTTCCATGGGATACAAATATGTAGCATTCATCATAAAAGATGTCATCTGGTTATCTTGTTCAAATATAATTTAAATTTAGTATGTTCTAATATTGTTAAAGATATAGGGATATAAACCACTCACATTTTAGTAAGAAAGGCAAGAAAATGACTAATAATGATATGATATAGCATATATGTTTGTTGTCCCGCACTGTCCTACGCCCAGCTGGGCAACTCCGCCCAGACGCGGAGCAGTCGTGGCTAGCGATTGTGGTCGTAAAGTTGAATGGTCGTAAGTTGCATAGGTCGTAAGTCGATCAATACCTGTAATTTGAAAGATGCTTTTGTAACTTGAATGTTAAACTGACTTGCTTTTTGGGAAACTTGATTGCTTAATTTTTGAAGAAAAAGATGCCTAGTGCGAATTTAACATAATTCATTCGTTTCTGGGTTTTTAATTTTTTTAAATTTTTTTTGGAGACGGAGTCTTGCTCACGCTGTAGTTTAGTGGCACGATCTTGGCTCACTGTAACCTTCACCTCCCAGGCTCAAGCAATTCTTTTGCCTCAGCCTCCCGAGTAGCTGGGATTACAGGCTTGTGCCACCACTCCCGACTTATTTTTGTACTTTTAGTAGAGACGTGGTTTCATCATGTTGGCCAAGCTGGTCCCAAACTCCTGACCTCAGGTAATCTGCCTTCCTTGGCCTCCCCAAGTGCTGGGATTACAGGCGAGAGCCACCATGCCCCACCCAATTGATCTGTCTTTGAAGTCTGTTGTTTCCTTGAAAAAATTATTTTGAATAGGAATTTATTAAAGAGTGAGAGAGAATGGTTGCCAGCTCTCTAAATTTGCAAAAGAAAGAAGAAAGGAAAAGAGTCTGTATAACTGAAACTGCCAGGTATTACCTGACTTGTTTGGATTTGAATCAGAGGTTTAGTAAATGATGTAAATTAATAATAATCTTACTTAACTAAGCTAAATAACAGTATGTCTTTAGTTGAAATCTTGAGTTAGAAAAATGCTTTCCATATTCCTCTGCTTCCTGGTTTTACCTTTATAAAATAAGCAATTTAAAACGATGGCAGGTACATAATGAATAAAGAATAGGTTTAGGTTAGTGAAAAATGGAACATGGACATTTATTAATGTGGGGCTTACGATAGAATTACCAGGAAACATATCAGGGTATTTCACTCACTGGAATGCAAGTAAAGTAAGACTGTTATTTGAGGTTGCCTCTGAGATCTTGAAAAATCAAGGGAAATGCTTCAGCTCTCTACATATCTCTGTTTTGATAGCTTTTGAGAGGAACAAACTGACATTGAAGTAATACTAAAATATTGGCAAAGTTTCTTTGAACATAGGGATAATTCAGGTGTCCTTATGAAATATCAGTGATATTTGCTAGGACTTACATTGTGTGAGGGCAGAGACCTGTGACTGTTTTATTAACTGATGCATTCCTGGTGCTTGTGCTGGCACTCATCTTTGCTGAATGAATGAAGATTATTTATTTATTTATTTACAATAAAGTCATAGTGAAGAGCATGGAATTTAGAATTAGTCCCGCCTTTGAGTCTGGCTGGCTTTGTGCAGTTATTCTTTTTTTCTTTCCTTTTTTGAGATGGAGTCTCACTCTGTAGCCCAGGCTGGAGTGCAATGGTACAATCTTGACTCACTGCAACCTCTGCCTCCCGGGTCTCAGTTCAAGCAATTCTCCTGCCTCAGCCTTCTGAGTAGCTGAGATTACTGGAACACACTACCATGCCCAGCTAATTTTTGTATTTTTAGTAGAGGTGGGGTTTCACCATGTTGGCCAGGCTGGTCTTGAACTCCTGACCTTCTGATCTGCCCAACTTGGCATCCCAAAGTGCTGGGATTACAGGCATGAGCCACCATGCCTGGCCAGTTATTCTATTTTTTATTTTTAATTGTGGTAAAATATACAATATAAAAGTTACCATCTTAACCATTTTTAAGCATATAATTTAGTAGAGTTAAATATGCTCATATTGCTGTGAACAAGACCTTCCAAACTTTTTCATCTTGCAAATCTGGTATCTGTACCCATTAAACAGCAGCTCCCCTTTACCTCTCCTTCAGCCCCTGGGAATCACTGTTCTACACTGTTCTGTCACTATGTATTTGACTATTCTAGATCTTCATATAATTGGAATCATATAGTATTTGTCTTGTTGTTCTCAGCTTATTTCAGTTAGCATAGTATCCTCAAGGTTCATCCATGTTGTAGCATGTGACAGGATTTCTTTTTCTTTTAAGGCTGAATAATATTCCATCGTATGGATATCCCACATTTTGTTTATTCATCCACTGATGAACATTTGTGCTGTTTTTGCCCTTTGGCTTTTGGAGTGGCATTGCTATGGATATGGGTATGCAAATATCTCCTTGAGGAACTGCTTTCAGTTCTTGTATATATACCTAGAAGTGGGATTGGAAAATCAAATGGTAGTTCTATTTTTAATTTTTTGAGGAACCTCCATACTGGTTTCTGTCATGGTTACACCATTTTACAATTCTACCAGCAGTGCATAAAGATTCTAATTCTTCCACATCCTCATCCACAGTTTTTTTGTTTTTTTTTTTTTTTGAGACAAAGTCTTGCCCTGTCACTCAGGCTGGAGTGCAGTGGTGCGATATTGGCCCACTGCAACCTGTGCCTCCTGGGTTCAGGTGATTCTCTCGTCTCAGCTTCCTGAGTAGCTGGGATTACAGATGTGTGCCTCCAAACCCTGCATATTTTTTTGGTAGTTTTAGTAGAGTGGGTTTCACTATGTTGGTCAGGCTGGTCTCAAACTCCTGACCTCAAGTGATCCACTTGCCTCAGGCTCCCAAAGTGCTGGGATCACAGGTGCTCAGCTGGTCAACACTTGAGATTTTCTGTTTTTTTGATAGTAGCCATCTTAATGGGTGTAAAGTGATAACTGGTTTTGGTTTCGATATGTATTTCCCTAATGATTAGTGATGTTGAGCATCTTTTCATATGCTTGTTTGCCATCTGTATGTTTTCTTTGGAGTATGCCGTTTATTTTTGCTATATGGTTTCAATCAAGTCATTTGTTACTTCTTACTCCGCTTATCTGTAAAATAAAATAGGAATGAGAATAGTACTTACCTCCTAGAATTGTTGCGGCTATTAAGTAAGACGATGTTCAGAAAATGCTTAGCACCGTGCTGCTAGGAAACGTCTAAATCAGTGGTTTCCACTACACTTATTTTCAGGTTGTTTGGAACTTGCATTGACTTTTTTGTACAAACAGTATTGTGTGGGTTAGCTAGCTAGCTTCTTGAGCTAACCTGTGACCGACTGCTGCATGAACCCTATTTGATACAGCTGTTATTGTTACTAGTAATGTCCAGAAGTCTGTGAATAGGGCCAAGTAGGGTGCTTTCTCTGGATGAAGACTGGCCTGGGCAAAATTGTGAAAGAGGTAAAGTTTATCTTTTGATTCGCTAGGATGTTGTCCTGTTCGCAGATTCTTGTGCCTTCTTGCTTATCCTAGGACTCCACCTGGTCATACTACCTAGGCCCACCCTATCCCGCAGAAGTATTCCGTGTTCAAAATTCATACTGGCTGGGCAAAGTGGCTGACGCCTGTAATCCCAGCACTTTGGGAAGCCGAGGTGGGTGGATCACCTGAGGTAAGGAGTTCAAGACCAGCCTGGCCAACTTGTAGAAACCCCATCTCTACTAAAAATACAAAAGTTAACTGGGCATGGTGGCGTGCACCTGTAATTGCAGCTACTTGGGAGGCTGAGGCAGGAGAATCACTTGAACCTGAGAGGCAGAAGTTGCAGTGAGCCAAGATTGCCCCACTGCCTTCCAGCCTGGGCAACAAAAGTGAAACTCCATCTCAAAAAAATCATACCACCTCTGTGCATCAGCAGGCTTAGCCCCCCAACTTTAAGATATTTGTTAAAAACATTGGTTGGTTTCTATTCCTTATGAGATAAGCATTTTTAACCTAAAGGAGTCTGAGTAGTGGAACTTCAAGCAGGTACTTAGGCCATCAGGTCAGGCAGCCTACAAGGGAGGTACTGGGGCAACAGGCCTGCCTCCTGGGCATGAAGGAGACCATTCCTTCTAGCAGATCACATTTCTCACGGGTGATGCTTTTTTTCAAGGTTGTCAACCAAGGGTTCCTGGCTTCTGTTTATGGGGAGGAGAAGGGCAAGAGATTGGTCTTTGTTGGAAGATGCTGATTGTATTTAGGATCATAACTAAATGTGACTTTATAAGTTGGAGGCTGCTTAGATATTGACATTCTTTATACACCATCATAATAACCACAGACACATGTAATCGGAAACTATAAAGCAGATGCTTCTGAAACTTTTAACTCTTGAAATAAGTGCATCTACCTTAGCTCAGCTAATTAGTGGGAAGCAGGTGGTTAGAATAAATGGCCAGTCCTTTGCAAAGACAATGAGTGGGAGATGGCATGTAGACTGATGAAAGCCTTTGGCTGTACATTTCCTGAACTGACTTTACAGTCATGCTTGCAGTTTTTATTCACACTCACACTTGCACTTTTATTCAACCCTTAGCCACAGCTGCAGAGTTCTCATTTCATTTGAAAAGTGTGTGGTTACAAGGAAAACTACATAGCTGCCTGCTAGGTTGGGATTAGCATATTTGCTGACCGTTATCAGTTGGGTAAAAGATTGTACTCCCTATGGTGCCAACTCTGTGAACCCATGAGCATAATATGTAGGTGAGGAAGTAGGAAACAGTTACAATAGTCAAGGAATATTATTCAGTAGAAAAAGACAAAAGACAGATTTCCAAATTATGAAAAACTTAGAGTTGGAAGTAAAAAAGTGCTAAGGAACAAAGATCAAGAAGTTCACTGCAGATGCATAGCTGGGACAGAAACTTAGAAGGCTGCAGAGGGGTCCTTTGCCTCTACCAACAGTGACAAAACACATTTGACTTACGGCACAGGGTAGGTTTGGATAGGGGAAGTCAGTCAGATACGTTTTCATTTTGGCTTTTTGTTAATTGTCAAGACTGTAATTTCCTATGACTAATGATCTCAAGTAATGAAGAGGCTTCTTTAAGAGGGAAAAAAAACTTAAGATTTTCCATCATTTTAAATAGAAACAGACTTTATGAACGAAGGCCATTATTTGTGTCTGCCTGCTCTAGTGCTTTGAATATAGTTGATGACATTTCTTAACTGTTGATAAAGTATAGCACAGGTTGGGTTTTTTTTTTTATAGGATGGTTTTTGATGACAAATTTAGTTTTAGTTTTTTTTTTGAGACAAGGTATTGCTGTGTCACCCAGGCTGGAATGCGGTGGCACAATTATGATTCACTGCAGCCTTGACCTCGCAGGCTCAAGCGATCCTCCTATCTCAGCCTCCCAAGTGGCTAGGACTACAGGTGCATGCCAACACACCTGGCTGGTTTTTGTATTTTTTGTAGAGATGGTGTTTTGCCATGCTGCCCAGGCTAGTCTTGAACTCCTGGGATCAAGTGATCTGCCCACCTTGGCCTCCCAGAGTGCTGGGACTACGAGTGTTAGTCACTGCACCTGGCCTTAGTTTCTTTATTCAGAATAAGGTTATTAGTATTTTCTGTTTGAACTGTGTTAGTTTTTACAAGTTATATCTTTGAAGGAATGTTTCCATTTCTTGACATTGCTGAATTTTTTGGCACAAGGTTCGTAATATTATTCTTCAATGTCTAAATGTCTAAAAGTATGTAAGATGATTCCTGCTGTTTCTAATATTAATAATTTGTATTTTCTTTTTTTTTCTGTTGATCATTGTAGACAGAGTTTGGTCAGTTTTTTTGGTCTTTTTAAGGAACCAACTTTGGGATTTGTTAATAATTTCTATGGTTTTTCTTTATTATTTAATTGATTTCTGCTCTTTAGTTCCTTAGACTTACTTTGGTTGTACTTCGTGCTGTTGCTAGCTTCTTAAGGTTGAATGTTCATTGATTTTAGGCCTTTCCTTTTTTAAATATAAGCATCTTAAGTTGCACCTTTCACATTTTGTTTTCATTATAACTTGTCTTGAAGTGTATTCTAATTTCCCTTCTGACTTCTGTGAGGCATGGATTATGTATATGTGTTCTAATTTTCAAATAATTGATGGTTTCCTAGGTACTTTATTTTGATTTTAATTCCACTGTGGTCAGAGAACATACTAGGTGTGATTTCCTTCTTTTAAATTTATTTAGGCTTGTTTTGTGGTCCAGCATGGTATCTAACTTGATTAATATTCTATGTACACTTGAAAAAAAGGTGTATTCTACAATTGTTAGGTGTGATATTTCTGTTAGTTTTTCCATCAGGTATGAGGGGAGAGTTAACATCTTTGATTATCTGTTGTGGAAATTGTGAACTCTCCTGTCTCTCTCTTTGATATTGTCAATATTTCCTTCATGCGTTTTGAAGCTCTGCTATTAGCAGCCTGTATACTTATGACTGTCAAGTGTTCTCCTGATGAATTTTTACGTTCATTGTTACTCAGTCTTCCTTTTATCACTGGCAGTACTCTTTCTTGAAGTTTTATATGATACTAATAGAATCATCTCTGCCTTCTTGATCTATTGCTTGCATGGTGTATCTGTCTTCATTTATTTACTTTCAGTGTCTTTGTGCCTTTATAAGTGTGTCTCTTGTAGACATCATATAGTTGGAACTTGCTGTTTTTATCAATTCTGATAATTATAATCTTTGTCCTTTGGAGTGTTTACTTGATCAGTATTGTGATTGCTGACAGGGTTGTATGTAGGTCTGCCATTTTACTATTGTTTTCTTTTTGTCCTTTTGCTTTTGAATTTTTGTTCCTCTCTTTCTGTTGTCATTTAGATTATTTGAATATTTCTAGTATCCCTCCTGGAGTGCAGTGGTTATTCACAGGTGTGATTATGGTGCATTGTAGTCTTAAACTCCTGGCCTCACATAGTCCTCCTGCTGCAGCCTCCCAAGCAGCTGCGACTACAGGTGCCTGTTCTGCACCCAACTGTAACCACTTTTTAAATAACTTCTAGTATTAATGTAATAGTTTCTAATTATTAGTTACCACTATAATTGGAATTAAAATATGTCTTCCTCCAGTTCTTGATTTATCAAGTTTAGGCAGTTTCCCTTGTCTACCTGCTATAGAAGAGGAAGAACTGAGTCGACCTTACTAGTTCCTTCTGTTCTTTCTCAACTTCAATTTTAGTATTTAATCTTTTGATTATATTTACAGCTTTAATGTGATATAGATGTTATAATATACCCAAGTCTCCTTCTTGCTCTGTCACTTTTAGATAGCATCTCTTGATTGTATACTACTGATAATAAGGAAATTAGTTTATTTCCATCTTATCTTTCAACGACATGTTAAGTATGTGTTAGTATACTTTTATAATGTTTGTAGTATTTAGATTCTTACCTCTATAGTTGTGGATAGTCAGGAAATGAAAGCCATTTAGTAGACTAATATATTATGAATATATAGCTTCAGGATCAAGTCATGTGTTTGAATCCTTAGAGAAGGAGATGTAATCATTTTACCAACCAGTGTCAGACACATGGAGTCACTTGTTCACAGATGGCCACACTTTTAGTATGCTTCTCATTTGGAGCAGGATTTTTTGGTAGCTTCACCCCAAGGTGGAGTTACTGTTTCTTTGCCAGAAGAAACCTATGCCTCTGTCTTACCAGGAACGTCTTGATATTTTAACGACAGTGTGTATGAATGAGATCTGCTCTCTGTGAAGATACTCTTTATGGGTTTGGTTTTTTTTTTTTTACTTTTTTTTTTCTTTTCTCTGTGAAGATATTCTTTAGTCCTGTAACTCCTGGCTGTGCCTGGCCTGCTGCACATCTTTGCCCAGAACTCCTTTCACTGTCTTTCTGGGTTTTTCTGTCTTCTTTTTAAAAATTTAGTCATGTCTTCATCTTTCTTGGATTCTTTTTTTATTTTGCTGAAAGTACATCCTCAAAATGTGGTATGAATGTGTCTGATGCCAGAAGGCAGTATTGCAGCTTCTCAGAAATTTGGAGGAAAAACAATATTTAACACAGACTTTTATGTATAGCAAACAATTAGAGTAAGGATTCAGTGCAATTGTTTAGAAGTTTTCCTTTTTCAGTGTTCTGGAGAACTGGAATCACCTGTGGTGTAAAAGTTTGGAAAAATCTCTGGAAAGACTGCTGCTTTACAGGAAGGTAGCTTAGTGACAGCTTTCTCTGTGAAAATGTTCTGTTTGGGCTTTGCTTTTTGAGCCAATGGTCTTTTTAACTTCTGGGTGGGACTGCTTTATGTTCATTTGTTCCCAGTTTGTTGTAGAGGTCTCGAGTGCCCTACGGGGCCCTCCACAGGCACATCTTTCATTCTGCTTACAGCCTGGTTCTTGGACCTCGGTGGGGGTTAATGCTACAGCCAGCGGCTCCAAATATAGGGGCCAGAGCCTGCCCAGCCATCCTGTAGTCATCTCATGGACTATCCTGACGGCTGCCTTATAGCTACTTCTGCTTGCCAAACTGAGGGTCCTCTGCCAAAAATAATGGCTTCTAGATCTGCTAGGACCTCTTATGGTGTGCGTGCACCATGGTTCTCTCTACTTAGGTTTATTACTAATATGCTTCCACTTCCTATCTTCCAGAAATTTATCAAAGTTGCTGGTCTGCTGTTGTCCTCAGTACTGCTATGGTTATATTACTTTTCGTCATTTTGGTGGGACGGAGCACGGACAAATGTGTGTGCATATGTCTCCCATCCGTAGCTGGTGATTTGCATTGGTCCTTAAGAATGTGAAGGGAATATATAGAAAAATGATTTGGGATAAAATTTTTTAGATTCAGAGGTTAGAAAATGAATTGGCTAATACGTAGCATGGTATCCAGGGCAGACATGTGTCTGGCTTATTCTACTTTTCATAGCTGTTTAGTTACGGTGATGGGATCAACATTATTGGGTGTGTGTGTGTGTTTTAAAATACTTTAAGTTCTGGGATACATGTGCAGAACATGCAGGTTTGTTACATAGGTATACATGTGCGATGGTGGTTTGCTGCACCCATCAACTCATCTACATTAGGTGTTTCTCCAGTGCTATCCCTCCCCTAGCTTCCCACCTGCTGACAGGCCTCAATGTGTGATGTTCCCCTGCCTGTGTCCATGTGTTCTCATTGTTCAACTCCCACTTAAGAGTGAGAACATGTGGTGTTTGGTTTTCTGTTCTTGTGTTAGTTTGCTGAGAATGATGGTTTCGAGCTTCATCCATGTCCCTGCAAAGGACATGAATTCATCCTTTTTTATGGCTGTGTATTCTATGGCGTATATGTGCCACATTTTCTTTATCTAGTCTATCATTGATGGGCACTTGGGTTGGTTCCAGGTCTTTGCTATTGTGAACAGTGCTGCAGTAAACATACATGTGCATGTGTCTTTGTAGTAGAGTGATTGATAATCTTTGGGTATACACCCAGTAATAGGATTGCTGGGTCAAATAGTATTTCTAGTTCTAGATCCCTGAGGAATCACCACACTGTCTTCCACAATGGTTTAACTAATTTATACTCCCACCAGCAGTGTAAAAGCATTCCTTTTTCTCCACATCCTCTCCAGCATCTGTTGTTTCCTGACTTTTTAGTGATTGCCATTCTAACTGGCATGAGATGTTGTCTCATTGTCGCTTTGATTTGCATTTCTCTAATGAACAGTGATGATGAGCTTTTTTTGTGTTTGTTGGCTGCATAATCTCTTCTTTTGAGAAGTGTCTGTTCATATCCTTCACCCACTTTTGGATGGGGTTGTTTTTTTCTTATAAATTCCTTGTATATTCTGGATATTAGCCCCTTGTCAGATGGATAGATTGCAAAAATTTTCTCCCATTCTGTAGGTTGTCTGTTCACTCTGATGATAGTTTCTTTTGCTGTGCAGAAGCTCTTTAGTTTATTAGATCCCATTTGTCAATTTTGGCTTTTGTTGCCATTGCTTTTGGTGTTTCAGTTATGAAATCTTTGCCCATGCCTATGTCCTGAATGGTATTGCCTAGGTTTTCTTCTAGGGTTTTTATGGTTTTAGGTCTTATGTTTAAATCTTTAATTCATCTTCATTTTTGTATAATGTGCAAGGAAGGCATCGAGTTTCACTTTTCTGCATGTGGCTCGCCAGTTTTTCCAAACCCATTGCTTGTTTTTGTCTGTTGGGTTTTTTTTTTTTTTTTTTTTTTTTAAAGATTCTCTTAAGCGTGTGGAATGTGAGAAAATAGAATTTAAAATGGTTTTTCTAGTTATGTCAGTGGGGAGTCTTACGTTATCCATACTTAAGTTTCTAATGGTTAT